GACAGAAACGGGGAGAAACTGACAGAAACGGGGAGAAACTGACAGAAACGGGGAGAAACCGACAGAAACGGGGAGGAACTGACAGAAACGGGGAAAAATGGGCAGAAACCAACAGAAATGGGGAGAAACAGGGAGAACACGTTGCAAAGCGGTGCTGCTATGTCGGGCACGGCGTGTGCGGCCCCGCGGGGTGGGATGTGACGGGACACGGCGGGGACCGGAAGAAAATAGGGAAAAATGGGGATAATTCTCTGCGAACCGGCGAGAAAATGCAAAGTTTATTTGAAAAATAAAAGAAAAGAGGCGGTCAGCGCGGCTGCGGAGGTGTGAGAGGGCTGGGGCGTCCCAGTGATGCGGCTGCAGGAGCTGGGGAGGAGGGAAGGTGAGAAGGGATCCCATGCACCCAAATATTTCCAAGGGGTTTGGAGGATGATGCTGGGCTCTGTTTGGTGATGCTCAGTGACAGGATGAGGAGAGATACCCTAAGGTAAATCAGATCCCAAATCGCAGGATATTCTGCTTTGGATTGAGTCCCTTCAGTGAATGGCTCACATTGAATCCACAGCCTTGGAGTTGTCAGCACCATGCCGGGACCTGCTGAGCTCAGGACAGATAAACACAACAAATTCCACCTCAATTTACAGAAAAACTGGTTTCCATGGAGGTGGCAGGGCCATGGAACGGGGAGGGTGTGGATCTTCCTCTCTGGAGACATCCCAAACCCACCTGGACACATTCCTGTGTCACCTGCTCCAGGTGACTCTGCCTGGGCTGGGGAATTTGAGTTCATTTGAAGTTCAATTCCTCAGGTTTTCCTCATAGAATCATGGCATGGTTTGGGTTGGGAGGGACCTTAAAGCTCATCCAGTTCCAATTTTAGGCACCTTCCACTGGTCCAAGCTGGCCTTGGACACTTCCAGGGATCCTAGGCCAGCCACAGCTTCTCTGGGAATTCCACCCCAGCTCCATCCACCCTCACAGGAAAGGATTTCCTCCTAAAATCCCATCTAAATTCACTCCTTGTGATGCCACTATGATTTTTATTTTCAATAATTCACATACTTCAAACACTTGGCTGCGTGGAGTTCATAAATAGCATTTTTGAGCATAAACATACATTGAGTATCCTCTTAGTAAACACCTCGGTGCTGGTTGCTGAGAAAAGCATCTGCTATCAGGTGTAACATTATTCAACACTTCCCAGCCTCTAAACCAGCCCCTTCTAAATGCCCCTTTTGTTTTTCCAGTTTCCCATCACTGCTGCTTGCATTGTTCTCCTTAGGGGAAAAAAAATAGAAAAAAAAAATGCCACATAATGGTGCATTGTATAGGGAAGGAAAAATCAGCTGTTTGTTAAAGGCCACTGGAATACTGCAGTTCTGGATCGGCCACGAGGTTTGGAGAGGAAAATTTAAATAGATGGGAGCCAATGGTTTCCTTTGTGGGGTCTTTTACAGCAAATCCCACATTAAACGGGGGTGTCTGTAAAACAAACTGGATAATTGAGGAAATTACTGCGGGAAAGTGGAGGGTTTGGGCTAAAGTTTAGCAAGAAGGGAAGAGTAATTGGGGCTGGGAGGGGAATGGGGAGCTGGCTCGGTTTGGTCGTGCCACAGGAGCACCTTCCAACAGGACGAGATGCAAATTTTAAGCCTAAACCAGCAGAAGTGTGTTGTTACTAAAAAGGACTCAATTCTCCTAACAGGCAGTGGAAACCTTTCCTGGCTTTCCTGGAAGATGATAAACGTGTGATAAACCAGTAGTTGATCAGGACACCAAATGATGTCTTTTCTGTCCCAAACACGACTCGAGGATTTTCGCGTGTCCCTCCCAACTCAGATATTCTGTGATTTCACAAATCCCCTTGTGGGGACCATCACCTGTGCTGGCTTTTCTGCTCAATTCTCAATTTCCTCTTTTATTTTCAGCTGGCAACTTAAGGAAAGAAAACAGTGCAAACCCCGAGCAAAAACAACTCGGAGCGAGGTTTGGAGCCTTCCAAGCCTCCAGGGGAAGGCAATTCATGAATGCCAGGCGGGCAGGGGCATCACTGATGCTCATCTTCATTCACCAAGCCACCCCACATGCCACGTCCCCTATTTTTCTGTGTTCCAAACCAGCTGCAGGAGTGCCAGGGGAACAAGCCTTTACTGTCACAGCAGCCAGCAGCTGTCCCCAGCAGCGCCCCAACCCCGCTGGCCGGCCCTGGCACCCGAAATCGCTCTGTGTTCATTCAGCTCTGGCCTTTCTCCCCTCTGGCTGCCAGGATTTGGGTTGAAAGGGAGCAGAGAAAGCTGAGATCAGGAGGCAGCACGAGCACGGGGGGCTCCTCTGAAGAGAGCAGACATTCAGCTGCGGATAATGCAGGCACGCACCGAGCACTCAGCTGCGCTCACTGAAGGGGACACAGAGAATTTGGGGCCTTCTTTCTGCTAATCCTTTTTTTTTTTTTTTTTTTCCCCTGCAGTAATAATTTTTCCCTTTAAAATCCCAATTTTTCCCTGTTGAAATCTGATCTTCAACTCCAGGATAAAGGTAGAAAGGATTTTTAGATGAAGAATCACCTTTTTCTCTCATGTACTTGCACAGGTTAATGAGGAGGGGCTGGTTCAGAAGAGGGATCCTTGAGTGGTACCATAGGACAAGAAATTAATTATCACAATAATCGTAATTAATCACAATAATCCCCATTATTTTGAAAAAAATGTCATGCAGGCTGTGCTGTGCAGAAGGAAAGAAGGGATCCTTTGCCAACACCTCACCTGGCATTTAATGTGTAATTCATACATGGGTGGGGTTTGATCCTGCAAAAGCATTTTTGGTTTTTTGCTGGGATCTTCAAGTACGTGAATAAATAACAAACTTCATGCAATAAATATTGAATTAAAAAATTTACATCAGATGTCCTTTTTCTTTGGTATCCACCGCTCAAACCTAGAAGAGGATTTGGGAATCCCAGGCACTCCTCTCCGCTTCCATTCCAAGAGATAAATCAGTGGAGTCCTGCCCAGTGCAGGTGTGCAGAGGTTTTTTCATCTGCACCAGGTAAATATTCATGTTGGAAAAATGCTGCTGCAGGTCCCAGAGTTGTGGGATTGGGATGGAAAAGCCCCCTTGGATCATCCAGTGCCAAGGCCACCCCTAACCCATGTCCCCAGGTGCCACAGCCACATGAGGTTTGGGTGAGGCAAGGCCCATTTTAGGTGAACGAAAGGCAAATTTTGGACCTGAAGTGACCTGCAAGGAATGGATCTGCATAAATTTGGCCTTAAAATTGCATGAGCAGGCAGCAGAGCCTTCCCAAGCACCCAGTGTGGGATGGGACCCACCACTATTGTCCAGCTTCAGGGCAAAGCTTGTTTTAATTGAAATTCATTGAAATTACCACCTGTCTTTTTATTCCTTCTGTTCAGATATCAGGAGTTTTTCTGGAAAGGCTTGAACATTGTTTTACAGCAGCCTCAGAGCTGCCACATGCTCTGGGCCGAGCATTAATCCTGCAGGTGTCAAAGGCTGATTTTAACACCACAGGTTGCTCTTATCTGATCAGGGTTTGTTTTTAATTCCCCATAAGGCTCTTTCTCTTTGCCCCTTGGAATTCCCATGTGCAATCTGCTGGCAGGTCAAAGGAGGCCAGCTTGGGATAAATGAGAACTTTCCCCCTTGGTCAGATGAGGGACAGAGCCCAGTTTGGGAGGAACACACTCTGTGTGTGCATCCCAGAGCACATCCACGGGCTCCAGTGCTCTCATCCTCTAAAAATTCCTTCCCTGGCTGCCACTGGAAAGGAAATTTTTCCTTCCTGGCACGAGCAGGGCTCTGCCTGCTCTGGAGCCAATGCACACACACGCTCTTATTCCTGCAGGAGGAAGGGGTATGGAACAGAGGAGCCGGGGTGGGAGGTGGAGCAGCCTCCATCCCACAGGGGTGCTGAGGATTCCCAAGTGGGAATGTGATGGAGCCAGGCGCACAGGCTTTGGATTTACTGCCTGATTCCCAGAAACACAGGCTGAGCTGGCCAGGAATTTTCTTGGAGGCCACGTCAGAAAATGAAGCAATATTCCAAATATCAGCCTCTGCTGTGCCCACTCTGTCAGGAGGAGCTGGAGCTGTTCCCCCAAATCCTCTCTAAACTGGGCGCACTGGGCAACAGGAACCTGGGTTGTTCCTTCCCAAATCTGCACCCTTTTGCTGGGAATGCTGTGTCAGGCCAGGATGCCAGAGCCTGTGGGATCCAGGCTGTGCCAAACATCCGCATCCTTTGTCATACAAAAACCCGGCCACGAGACCCCCAAACGGCCCCACTTGAACCCACTTGTTCCCTGAGCATTATCTCATTCCATTTCATGGATGAGCGAACTTCTCAGGAAGCCAGAGCTCCTGAGCACCTCCAGCTCCCTCCTGTCCCTGTGTTCTGGCTGTGTGAGGCCAGGGAATTGTGCTCCATCCCCCGAGGAGGGACGGGGAACATGGAAAGGTCCGTGCGGGATCACGGACGTGCGGCAGGACACATTCCCTGCCCCGCTCCAGGCACGGCCTCATCCCCCAGCCCATCTCTGGAAAAAGAGGAAACAACCACCCAAAGTCACCTTCCTCCTTCTACCTGTGCTGGACAAAGAGGAATTCAAGCCTGTGGGCTGGGAGATGCAATTCCCTGCCTCGGGCAGGGCTGGGGAGCTCTGGAAGGCAGCGGCGAGCAGGGAAGAAAACCCAAGTCTAATTCCTCCTGTCCTTGGGGGCTTCTTTTGCAGGAATCTTTGGAGCTGAAGACAGGGAGCAGAAAAAAAGAGGTTCTTGTTCCCGTTCCTACCTCCGAAACTCCGAGCATCCCACAAATCCCTTCCCAGCCTCAGTCACGCACTGAGGTTGGGATCTTCCGAGGAAGGAGCTCCACAGGAGGGGCTGGATTGGGAAAAAAAAAATGGACTAAAAATAGTGATTATTGCTTGGACTCACCCCTGGCTAAAACAGATGAAACACTGGAATTCTGTGAGTCAAGGTAAATTGCCCAATGAGACAAGATTTATAGGAATATGCATTAATTATGTGTCACAGGAGAGGGGGGAAAAAAAGATTTTCCCAAGTGTCCAACAGCACTGCAAAGTCACCAATCCATAGACCAGAGAAACATAATCTCATCCCCAATCTCACTAAATTTTAGAAGAAAATTTCAATTATTCAATTAGCAAGTCCAATGTATTTAGCTCACCTTGAGCCTTGAAATAGTTTTTTGTTTTTTTTTTCAAAGACGCTTTGAAAATTGTATTTCAAATATGTCAGGCGGTAACTCTGCAAACAGAAAGCTGAAAAGTGGAAAAATCAGTTTGGGGTTTGTTTTTTTTTTAATAAAATTAAATCCTGCTTTGCCGTTTGAGAGAACAAATTAATTTTCACATAGAAAGCAGACGGAAGTTTGGGCACATTTAAACACATTTAAATTCAAAGCATACGGTTTATTTATTACACATCACAGTAATTAAACAAAAACCACCATGTTCCTGGTACTTTTTAAACGCTGGAATGCCTGAAGCCAAATTTCTTATTTTTTTCCCCTGTGACCCTCTATTTTTCCGGGGGGAAGTAGCAGATAAAACTTGAATTCGGGGAGCTGCTTTTATTTCCCCCCCAAGCCCCCAGTCGCAATTAGAAGGCTGAATTCCGCGGGTAATTAGAATCAAATGCTCCAAAGAAATGCTGGAAGAGCAGAACTGGCTTGGAAAGGGACAGACGGGGGAGATTTTGGGGATCACCCTCCCTTTTTTCCCCCATCCAAAGGCTCACCCCGAGGTGCCGCATCCTCCTCCGGCCGGGACCTCCCGGGCGCTTCCCGGTGCTCGGGATGGAGCCCGCTGCGGGAAAACTGCGGGAAAAGAGGAGGGACACTCGGGGAAGGGACACGGAGAGTTTGGTGTCGCTTTTTCCTTTGGGGAAGGGACACGGAGGGTCTGGTGCCGCTTTTCCCCAGCGATTCCCCGATTTTGGGGAAGGGACACGGAGGGTCTGGTGCCGCTTTT